GCCTTGCGGACCCAGGAACGGTGGCCCTGGCGTAGTGCCTTAGCCAATACTTTTCCTTTGCGGTTCCTGACTTTGGTGTAGGATTCATGTTAGATAGATAGATCTTCTTTCTCAGTCTGGTTGGAAGTTATCCCTAGATCCTACACGCCGGCCCTTGGCAGTCGTAATACCGGAGCTGCAGCGCCGTACAAGAATGCGTACCTCAAGCAAGGGATGTTATCCCTCGTTTAACGGAAGGATATGTTCCGACAGTTTGACAACATCCTCATTTGCGTCAACGATGCACGGTTTTCCAACCGATTCTTTTGCTGCACGTACATCTCCATTTGAATTGGCTAGCGCATCATAAAAGGGTGCCCCATTGTTGTTTTTTGGATGGACGTTGAAATAGCGATTCTCACCGGCAGTTGTTCTCTATACCTAAGGGAAACCATTTTGTGGGCTAAATACCCTTGGATAAAGACAGATGCATCAAACTAGTAAACAAACGTGTCATTCTGACGGGTCCTGGGCTCAGGAGTGCAGTCTGAGGTAACTCTTGCAAGGGCCGCAAGATGCCCAGCTGTATGGCCGGGAGCGATGAGGAGAGATAATAGTTTAATATACGAATATAGCTATATTACAGTGTAATACAGCTAAAGAGAAGTTACATAAAGATAGACATAGTTATATGGTATTGTTTAGGGTTTCTCCAAAACAGAGCTTGCAAGAATCATATAATTTTCTCGTATTAATAAAACTAGTATTCTTTTCCTCCATCTTCTTCCTGCCGGACATTTTTCTGCCTTTTATAACTACCTGAAAGGTACCGCCGAGCTGGAGATCTAAATCTTCCAAATTGCACACATTGCCTGTCTGTCCTCATAGGATGATAAGTCTCATATGGGTCCGAGCTAACTAACCCCTATAGACGGAAATGATAATTCAATGGCTGGTAGTACTGTTGCTCAGATGTAGAGGGAGGCTAGTGGTCCAGCAGCTTCACACAGGACTCATGTCCTCCAGCTTTCGCGAGCTCTAATGCCGATCTGCCTTGTGTGTCTCTGATACTCGGATCCGCCCCTTTTTCCAGCAAGAATTTTACTACCGCAGCCTGTCCCCGCCAGGCTGCTTTGCACAGCGCATTCTTCTCATCTCGTTCCGACGGGTCCTCCACAATGTAGGGGTTGGTCGGGATCTCATCAATAGCCGCGCCTCGTTCCAGCAGGTACGTTACCATCGGAACATTTCCCTGGTAAGCTGCCTTCCCCAGTGCGGAACGCCCCTTCAATACTGCCCCGGCATTCAAGAGCGCATCAACTACTGGGATCGAACCAGCAAAAGCCGCCATTTCAATCGCGTTATTGAATGCACCTGCCCAGTTATCTGAGTTGGGATCGGCACCGCGAGACAGCAGGAATTGGACTATCTCGAGATCGCCTGAATGCGCTGCTACACTAGTAAATAAAGCCTGTTAGAGGAACCCCTTCCGAGTGTAAAGTAAAGAAAAGAAAAGGAACAGAATAAAGTAAAAAATAAGAGATTAAACCCTAGCCTAGCTTACATAAGAGCGTCGCCACGGTGCCCGAGATTCGAGTTAATGTCCCAGTTATGAGCAAAAAGGCAATCCACGATGGCTGTATGCTTTAGCACTACAGCGTCTATAATTGTATCTAGATTTAGGTTTAGAGAAGTTAAGTACGCTTTTTTAATTAAGAAAGACGTGCAGGTGCCGAAAATGTACTTACCCAGCATCACTGGACAGCCACTATCCAGGAGGATACCCAGCGTTGCAGGGTTATTACTGCGCACCGCTGTGCAGCACGCGGCATTTATGGCCGGGGTAGGGAAATGGCTAGTTTGGAACTCGGGGTTCTGCGCTATCTCGAGGTCCAAGAGATGACGAAGCTTGTCCAGCTGGTCGGTTTGGGCAACGTTAACGAGGTCCTCTTTCATCGTGATAGATTGGTCCGATTTTATGCCAGGTTAGCATTTACAAAGAGGGGAGGGAAGAGTTGATGTTCCTAAGAGTATTTATCCCTTAGGGTGGGGTTATACCGGGTAGGTGAGGGCCGCTTGTCACTATATGTTACAAGCTCTATCCTTGTAGTAAAACCAGTGATATTTTAGATATAATTCTGTCAGCGGGAATGAGGTAATTTTACCGCTAGAATTCAACACTTTACCTTTTCTGCCTAGATCAACTCTATGGCTTCAAAACCGCCATGTGTACTTATTAAGATCGTATAAACAGGCGTCATGTAGGATTATCGATTCCGATAATCAGACCTTCGCGATAGTTCAATGCTCCAGATAAGTTTACTAGGTAATACGAACATTTTACAAACCAATAAATTCCTTGTCTAGATGCTAGTAGCTAGTACTAAATAATATAATACATTTCTAGGCTGTTACAGAAACACTCTATTCCGCAGCCATTTTAGCATGCGGGGATACCAGCCGTAGCCGTTCACCTTAGACCCCGATCCAAGACAGGAAGAACCCATCGCTTTAGTTTCTAGTGGCCCTTGATCACCTCTTTATTATCATTATCTGGGTTAATCCGAGTCACTTTGGTAACGGCCGAGCTGAGGTTTGGCCACTCGTATTTATCCCACACAGTACCCTTATGCCAGACAGTGCCCTTAGTGTTGCTAGGTAGTATAACCACTACCTCGCCAGCGCACAACTCCGCCATTGCCTGCGAGGCGCGTTTGTCTAGGACTTTGATATCTTCGTCGTCCTTCCATTGATCGGTCCATTCGGGGATTTTCCAATTCATGTTGAGAAGTCGGTACTGGCGATTTTCCGGCTTATTGCGCCACTGCGTCGCTTTACTTGAGTAGGAGTAACCCTGAGGTCCGGAGTAGAAGAGGCAGGAGTCCTTCACTGTCTTATTTTTGAGCTCTTCCTTAATTCTAGCGATGCTAGGTACGCCGTCATTGCAGCTAAGACCATCGGCATCGTCTCTAGCATAGAGATTATTCTCTTTACCGGCGTAGTCATCCTCCGTTGCATCATCGTCCAGGCTTCTAGGAATATGCTGTCCCTTGTCTCCCTTACCACCTTTGCCTCCCTTACTACCCTTGCCCTTTGGCTTGCAGTGGCCAATTGGTTTTTTGGGGCCCAGAGCAGAGTTTGGAGGGGGAGGACCCTCAGGCTTGCCGGGGGGGTTAGGTTTGGAATGAGGCTTGGAAGGAGGCTTGGAATGAGGCTTCTTTTTGTCATGACCAGAGACCACCGGACTACGTTGTGCACGATGCAGGGAATAATTTTACATCTACAGAGTTCAAATAGCTTGCATCGTCAATGTCGATCGAGGTTAAGAAGATTCCCGTGGAAGCCCACAACAGCGTAGGGAAAGTGGAACGGTATCATGTACCACTACGCCGCGCCTACGAGATTCTCAGAGAAGAGCTCAAGGATGAGAAAATCGACAGAGAGATGATCCTACAGATGGCTGTTAAAGCTATTAATGACTCAGCCGGACCAAATGGAATTGTCCCGACGTTGCTTGTCTTCGGAGCATACCCGAGAATGACCGAGATAGATCTACCATTACCTTCGGTAGTCAAGAGAGCTGAAACTATCCGTACTGCAACTAGAGAGGTCCGTCGCCTACATGCGGAACACCAGGTGAAGGACGCTCTCGCCATGCGCAACAGCCCTAGTACCATTACTACATTGAACCTACCGTTACAGTCAGATGTCCGAGTCTGGCGCGAGAAAGGTGGATGGAAGGGCTCATACAAGCTTTTAGCAGTAGATGGAGAGACTTGCACTGTAGATATGTTATATGGACCTACGAAATTCCGATCAACTGTTGTCAATCCCTACTATAGGGAGGAGTTTCTGGAGGAAGAGAGAGACCAACATCGTGTTAGACCAGAGAACAACCCAGTGGATGAAATTGTTGATTCGAAATATACTGATCTAGCCGAAATCCAACGACGAGGTCGAGGACGATCACCAGGATCAAAGAACAAACCGAAGCCGCAGGTAACCATACGGCGGAATAATCGACGAAAGGCTGCTAATTATCAAGATATTGAAGATCAATTCATTAACGCTATCCAGGAAGGACAAGACATTTCAATGGCACTTATAACAAGCAAAGAACGAGCCGACATGGAACTATCTATCAAGTTGAGAAATGAAGGTATCATTACGACCCCTGGATCGCCATTCGAGCAGTCCCAGAGCAAGGAAATTGAAGGACTGATAGCCAGAGAAGTGTTCAACTTCGTGCAATATGACCCAATCAAACATGCTGGCGTACGCATCTTTATTTTACGTCTAGTTAATGAGATTAAGGGCAAGGCCACGGGTACACCTTTCGAGAAATCACGACTCGTTATTCAGACCTACAATGACGAAGGAAAGGAGATAATTCTCACCCAATCTCCGACGATTCAGCGAGCCAGCTAACGTGTTATCGTTGCACTGGCCCCGTCACTGAGCGAAAAGAACATCAATCTGTCAATCCGAGATATCACACAGGCATACATTCAGTCAACAACCTCATTGAACCGACTAATTCTGGCGCACCTACCCAAGGAGGTCAAGGGCAAATTCCCAGTAGGCACAATCATGGTAGTGCAGAAACCACTATACGGGATCCCTGAAGCCGGAACCTATTGGTGGGCAACGTACCACAAGTACCACCGGGAGAAGCTCGAGATGGTTATATCGACCTACGACCCATACTTATTGATCTCGACAGCAAAGGAAGCTTTCGGTATTGTTAGAATGCAAACTGATGACACTCTGATTTTGGGATTAAACGAGTTTGCTATGCTCGAAGAGAAGGAATTGGCAGAAATAAAGTTTAGCGCAAAACCTAGGGATACTCTATCTCCAGAGAACGCGCTAATATTTAATGGCTGTATTCTAACTCAAAAGGAAGGAGACGTTACCATTGAATTACGCCAGAAGGAGCAAGGCAAGAAGCTCAAGCTTATTGACTACAGATCCAGGGACTTCAAACACGTTTACATGGAATAACGTGCTCGCGGAGCTTATATTGCAACGATCTGCCAGCCGGAGGCAGCATTCGACTTATCTGTTGCCGCCCAACACCAGGATCCTACAGAAGCCGATGTTAACGCGTTAAACAAACGTATTATGTGGCAAATGGAAAATCTGGACAGAGGGGTTAAATATATTGCAATGGAATTGTCAACTGCAAAGCTCTTTGTGTTCGTCGATGGATCATTTGCGAACAACAAAGATTTCAGTTCCTAGATCGGATATGAGATCATTCTCGCAAACGAATCCACGCACAATGATGAATTCGAGATCATCGGAAATGTGACGGTCTACAAAGGAGCTTAGTAAAAGACAAGTTTGTTTATGACTCATAGTCAAAGAATTTTCCCATGGAGAGGAAAGGCTATCTAGGAGGAAGGATCTAGAGCTTCTATATACTGCCCGAGGCTTGGCCTCAGGCAGGAATGCCTGCAGAGCATCCAGGAACCTTCCTGGATGCCTACCGGAGGGTCCCTCGATCCTATACTAACTAACCAGAACGTTTCCCCGGAACGTTCCTCCGCACTGGGAAGTTCCCTGATTTCAGGAGGTCACACAGATAAGGGAATGGCTAGGAAACGAATCCAGGTATGAATGCCTTCATTGGTCTCGCCGAGGCTCAAAGTTCGCCCTGGTGAAGCGGTACATGCAAGGTCTAGAAAACCTATATAGCGATAGTAGATACCTGAATATTGCCATTAGATGTAATACGTTAGTGCATTAATTCAGGCAAGCCACCAACTAATTGGGGTTATGACGACACAAGGAGTTACAGATTTCTGTTAAAGTAACCTCTTTGATTCAGAATACAGCTCCTAACTTAGAGCTACTAATACACTGGGTATTCTCCCGCACCGTCTATAAATTCTGTAAGAATAAACGAAACTAACTGTCACGGACTGTGACCTGCCTCCGAAGACGTTCCTTCGCGATACCCTATGACCTAACTACCCGATCGGGACTAGCTTCACAACGTAGCTTAGTTTCTTCGTTGAATGCATATCCTACATTTTCGCGATTTCTTATCGCCAGCGTAGCTGTTCGTCACACTAACAAAATAAAGTTTTACCGCGTCTACTCTGATTACACTTACCTTGTGCAATAAATATCAAAGGCTTTTTCAAAATAAAGGCCCGGAACTGGTACCAGAAACGACAGCTAAGTAAAATATATCAAACTGCAAATTATTTTCTAACATACTCCAAAAGACTTCTCTTTCGACAAACCATTGAGAAAAAATTTAAAGTAACTAGAGACTTTTCATTTGAGAGGGACTGACCGAGACAACTAGATTAAGGCGCCCTTTGTGAGTTTATATAGCCTCGATACATTATCTTTCTATTTCAGGGATTTATTTTACAAATCAGTCAGTAGGTTCTATTCAGAGAGTTTAAGATTATAGAGACTAGCAAGGATCCTAAGAGCCAGTTTGGGTTTTCTAAGATCTACGATTTCTCTATACTATCATGCGTAAGCTATAATATCATTTAGTAATTTTTATGCGAACTTTTCGTATAACGTTTACTGACACATGTATTACGTATCAGCTTTTATGCTAGCAATATCTACAGATTGCTTAGACGAGAAAAATCAGAGCTTTATGTAAGGGATTTAACCCGATTAGAGAGAATCTGTTATGACTTTCTACTGTAGTTAGCAAACCTTCTAGGCTAGGATAGCTATAAATAATTAATACTACGTCCTTATTTTCGAATATTATTCTTTTAATTAGTACTATAGATTTTCAGTATTATGTATTTTGATAGGGAAACATTGGCATGCCATTCTACCACGTAGGTATTTAGGATCAAAATTCAGAAAATATCTATAATAGACTAGCGTTAATTGGTATTCCGAGAATTCCTTGACTTTTGGGATATGTCACGGACTGTGACCTGCCTCCGAGGACCTTCCTCGCGATACCCTATAACCTAACTCCCCGATACGGACTAGCGTCAGAGCTGTCACACATAACGCAACTACCTCCTGAATAGCTTCATAACTTAGCTTAGTTTCCTCGTCAAATGCATACCCTACATTCTCACGATTCCCTATCGTCAGTGTAGCCGTTCGTCACAGGATATCCAGGGCCACTCTTATAAACATCTGGGCTTGTGCTGTCTTTCGATGGAAAAAACCCAGAACAATATTGGCTATATTGGTATAGTGCAATAATACAGCATTTTCTCCTGGGAAAAAGGTCGTGGGTATCAGAAGAAAAAATAGCTTCCCTAATTGGTCATTTTCATGATGGCAGTGCTGGATTTATTGAAGAGTGTAATGGACAAAAGTGAACTCAGAATAAAAAAACGAGCAAAGGGGAGACCGCTAGTTGAAGTACAGTTTATTAAGATTATTTACTTAGGGCACTCAGTCTTCCACTTATTCCGTGTTCAGTGATCCCCTTAGGCTGCTCAGGGCGTACTCAGGTCTACTCAGTGAGCAAAAAACGGCGAGGGGTGAGCACTAAAACGGAAAGGGAAGGCAGTCGACCTGGCTAGAAAATCCAGTACGTATGTATATAATTCTGACAAACAGGACTGGTAACCAGGATCTCTGGCCTCATTCAATGAATATTTTTCAAGTAATCAAGAAATAATTATATAACTACCTGTGTTTGCCCTAGAACTGTACCCTCTGACAGGATCGAGGGAAATCGTAATAACCTACTCATCTTCATTCGGTACAGGCGCCACCGCGGGTCTCATGGAACCCAACGGTCGTGGCTGCAAATGTTTGATGTATTGATTCCCAAGAAAAGTTTGTTGCGGAGTGGACCCCTTGTATCTAGGCTGCTATCCCATCGGTACCCTCAGGAACCCGAGAACCAGGGGAGTGGCTCGACCTTCCGGGAAGGGTTTAGGCAGACGGGCAGATCCAACGGTCGAGAACAAACCTCACTCTTGGCGTCTTCCATAAATCATTTCCGCCACCATTTCCTGCCCTTTACCTGATTGCATTAGGATCGTCTGACCCGCGGGAGCCGAAAAGAGCATGTCGAACCCTCCCGCCACTCGCTCCTACATGGGCTGTTGGACCTGTCGGCGTCGACGACGAAAATGTGACGGACAGCGTCCGGTTTGTCAGAACTGCGAGGTCCGCAATCTCCACTGCGAGGGATACGATGTTCGGCTTCGCTGGGGTACGGGTATTGCATCGAGAGGGGTGCAAAACTTCCGGTCAAGGAAGCCCTTGCTCAGCCATACACGCCCAGGCGTCGTCGAGTTGGACAAACCTCACTTGATTCATCACGACCAGCCTCGGTTGCTCTAGGACAGTCGGCCACAGAAACGATTGTCATTGATGGTGCATGTCCGGAGGTAGAGAAGACGCAGAGAAGCCCGTCGACGAACAGACCCCGGACTGAGACAGCTCAGGCTCGTGACCTTTTCCGTCAATGTAAGTGACCCCTGTCGGGTTGATTAGTCCCAAGGATGCTGAGAATGAGACTGGGTGTACAGTTATAGAAACTGGATGCCAGGAACTATTCTCCACCAAAGTCCTCACCGGTGCATTTTCTAGTGCGATAGTTGATCTGTGTCAGGATTCTCAGGCCTGTTACACCGTTTGCATCGCATTGCAAGCCTCACTCACAGACGGCCTGCAGAGGCATTTTCTGGAATACTTCGATCTTGCCCTGCAACACTTTCGGTCCGAATTCGGTCAGACAGATAGTCTTACCTATGGCACGCTGACAGCTGGGATTTTGATCTGTACGTCTAGCGTAAGTGTGGCCTCCCTTCTCTGGTATTAGACAAACGCCCGCATGGCTAACCCAATGCGCCACCACCTCTCTGCTCTGTGGTCCCATCCGTACAGATCTTCCACGGCATGCAATGGAAACTCTACGTAGAGGGACTATACCGATTCATGAACAGTCCAGGCGGAGGCCCACTCTTACAAAACTGAGGGCCCATGATCGACGAGCTGGTCGAAGCGTTGGGTATTCTCGACTTATCCAGTTTCATCATCGCACGACGCTCCCCGCCCATGCACATCTGGTACCGACATTGCCGAAACGGAGCTCGATCGACACCCAAGAACCGACCGGTTCCGCGGTCCCTTGTCGATCTGTTCTCCGGCGTGAGACTCGATGCATCCGAGGATGATTTCCTGCATTGGCCAGGCGCCGTGGGTTCATTCGCCCAGATGCATCTGTGGGAGACATATCGGTACATGGGCGTGTTATGTATCCGCAGGCTACGACAGCAACAGGGGGCTTCGTCGCCCGAGAATCGCTCTTCGGCAGAAATGTCCGAGTCCGTCCACTGAGATCATCGTGGGCCGAGTACTCAGTGCAGGATGAACCGTATTCGCAGACAAATCTATTGCTAGAGAGTCTGCACGTGCTTTGGAGTACGTGGAGGCTGGATCCCCGATGCTCGGTGGAGCTGATAGTAGCCAAACGAGGCCTGGAGCCGGGTCTGATTTAGGGCTGGGAACGGACGAGCTGTGCTCAGTTGTCATGCATTGCATATCCCGATAATGCTGTCGTTTTTGGTTCATGTCTAATGAACTTGAAGATCTCCTTCATCTACGCCGCTTTATATTTGGGTCACATGAATATCGACGCAAGGATTAACAGGTCTATAATCAACAGGTCAATGACTGATCCAACTACCAAAATGCTTCACTCAGAATCTGATTAAAGGATATTCATATAAGTATTAAGCACACTCCCTTGTACAAACCTGAGTATTCCTTACGAAAGTTCTACCATATGATGAAATGACTGTCAGTAATGGGACGAAAAATATATCCTCAGTAAAAATGCTACGTATCATGCTCAAGCTAATCAAGATAATCGACGCCAGCCATGTTTTTTCAAGAAGAATGAACCAACGAGGGTATAAGTCATCCAAACGCCCTGCAGTGAACCCAAATCAACCCAACCACCGCATCAATGTCTCGCGTTACTTCGCACCGTCCGTGATCCCCGACGTCGTCTCCCGGCGGTCGCCGGGGTATCGTCCGGATCCAGTTCCGGAGTCCGGCCGGGTCGTGGAATGTGTCCCATCGCCTGGCGGAAGAGCCTATCTGCCTCGTCGTCCAGCTCCATTTCGACCTTCTCAAGCGTCGCCGATTCGCCGGGCATAGTCTGCGAGTCCACTTGAGGGACGTCGTCGGTCCATTCCTCGGCGTAGGAATCCTCCGTGGGCACTCGCCGTCGCGAGGTCTTGCCCTTTCCCTTATCTCGCGAGGCACGGGCGGAGCTCCGGCTGGATCCTGACCGGCCGCTCTCCGGCGTGGAGTCGGACCTGTGACCTTCCAACGCCCAGATCTCTAGAGCGCGAGATAGAAGCGTGCCGGCAATCCCGGCGCCACCGGCAGCGTCTCCGCCACCGCTTGCACCCAATACGCGCACGGCTTCGTGAAGGGCTGTCACGGCTTCCATCGTCCGACCGAGCTCCAACAACACAAGTCCGCGCGCGGTGTGAAGGGACCCAACGAGACCGCGATCTTCATATCCCCCGACTCCCGATGCCGAAACGCCCGACGCATGGCCACCGCTTCCCCCCAAGAACGGACTGTAGCCAATGCTCGCGCCGGCGGCTCCAATGCGGAGACATTCGTCGAACTCGTTCAGTGATTCCGTAAAACGACCGATCCGGCGTAGCGCATGGCCCAGGTTGGCCCGCGTAGCCACCCAGGCTCCCGGTTCGCAGTGAAGCGACGTTGCCAAGGCAAGGGACTGCCGGAAAAGCTCAATGGCACTTTCGAGTTGGTTCTGGTGGTAGAGAACAACGCCCAGTTCGTTGATGACCAGAGGGTCGCCGCCCAATGAGTGCCCTTCGGTGGATGACGGGAGCGCGGTGATCGAGGTGACGGAGCCGGACGGAGCCCCTGTCGACATGGCGTAGGCGGCACATAGATATTCGTGGGCCAAAGACATGTTGTTCAACGCTAAATGCTGCATGCCAAGGAAGAGCTGCGGGAGGTGACTGCCCTGGAAGAGTCTAGCCGCCGTGCTGTAAGCAGCGATGGCCTGGTCATGCTCCCCCTCAGCGGCAAAGGTGTGGGCAAACCCGATCCATGCCGGTGCCGAGTGTGGATCCAACAACGATGCTTTCGAGAAAAACCGTCGTGCTTCGGCCACTTTGGAGACGGACAAATAGTAGACGCCGATGGCGAGGTAGGTATAGGACTCCTCCGGGGCGTGGTCGGCCAGCGTATGCGACAAGAGGAAAAGCGAGTTCGTAGCACCGGTTTCGTAGAGACACGCCAAATGCAAAGGATATACCGCCGGTGCGTGTCCCAAGTGATTCTGCGCGGACAATTGAGGAGCGGTAGCCGTGGTCAGAGCTGTGGAGGATTCCGAGTTGGACAAGATCGACGAAGTAAGCTCCAGAGCCTCTGCAAAGCGGCATTGGGTGTAGAGGGCCTCGGCGCGGGAAAGAAGAATATCAGGATTGTCGGCAAGCTTGTAATGTGTCGACAGAGTTTCCGTCGCGTCGGACAGAATCGAGGGGGACGAATATTTCGACAACCGAGTCGTGTACAGCATCTTAGTGAAATGAGCCGCCTCCTGCGCAGTGTATGCGTCCGGACAGCCCACGGAGTCGAAGTCCAGCGATTCCAAGAATTCCAGCTCCTCCGCCGGGGACATCAGCGAGTTTTTCATCAGCTGATCGAAGGCCTCGAAGCATTGCACGTCGATGCGTACGGCATCTTTGTAGCAGTCGCGTGCGCGGTCAAACGCATTTTGCTTCGCGAAGCATAGCCCACGCAGGTAACACATGGCCGCCTCAAATCGAACATTATTGTATTCATCTCGTTCGCGGTCGTCGCCCGGATCAAGGCGCGATGTCGCCCCATTCTTCCCATTTCGCAGGTTGACCCGATTTGGCCCGTTAAGGTGTTGTATTTTCCGGCGGCTGTTTTTACTGCGGAAGAGGTGAGTCGGATTATGATCGCCGAGCACCGAAAGCGCCTGTTCGAAGTGATTCTGTTTGATGTAGCAATGGGCCGCCAGGTATCGGCAGGCGGCACTGCGCGAGATCAGGTCTTTCCGGGTCAGGAGGGCCAAGGCACGGGTATAATTAGTATTTGAAAAATGGACCTGGGCGAGCCAGAAAGCGTCCGAGTCGCTGTCTTTCCAGTTTACATCGTCAGAATCGGCATGGGAGGGAAACGAGTCGGGGGGGGGAACGCAGTCTCACTGGTCAAGGCGAAGACTTTGTCGCCAATGTAGACGGCCGAGTCGAACTGGCCGCGGTTCAATGCGTCCTGCCGCCAGTTGCGCAGAAAACCGTCCATGTTTGCTCAAATGCGTGTGGGAGTCAAGAGGAACGAAGGGATTGGATTCAGTGGATATTGGCAGCCACGGGTTGGCAGAGGCATGGGGGAGGGGCGACGGAGGTGGATGCGGGATAAATAAACGAGCGACTCCCCTCCGACGGCATGAGCAGGAGAGTTGGATTAGAAACCGAAATCTCAGGAGATGCAGTCAAGACTCAGAAGAGGCTCTGCGGGGGACGACGTCCGAGGGGCAAAGAGGGGAAGAGGCGAAGGTGAAGGAGACTTGACTTTCTTCCGCTGGCAAAATGACAATTCCCGGCGCGGCGCGTCGCTGCGGTCCGTGCGCGTCTCCGCCTCCGCTTGTTTACTTTTCTCTACTCCGAAGTATAGTTACTCGGCAATGCAATAATAATCACTTCATTTATATCATCAGTCTAAGTCGATTCAAGACTCAAATCCCTCCACTTCTCGTCTGATGCTGCTGGAGCCTCCGCCGCTTGGCCAGCGTATTCCACGGCATCAGGACCCACCAAAAGACGCAAAGGGGGTTCCTCCAGCGCGGCGATCTTCATAATGATGTCTGCAATCCGACCGGGCAACGACAGCTCGCTGCCCGTTGACTTGCGTAGATATTCCGCAAACGTGCCCACGGTCGTCTGGTATGGCTCACTGACCTTGGGGATCGTCATGGACGATCCCGCCCAGTCAGTCCTGATGCCACCCGGTTCAAGAACGGTGACTTTGACTCCGAACGGTGCGAGCTCCTGAGCCAGGACGGTCGAAAAACCGCCCACGGCCCATTTGGCAGACTGGTAGGCCGAGAGCCCGGGAGCTCCGATGCGTCCGCCTAGGGAGGAGACCTGGAAGATATGTCCCGACCCCTGCAGGCGGAGGATCGGCAGTATCGCCTTGGAGACGTAGACGACCCCGAAGAAGTTGGCGTCGACCTGCGCGCGGGAATCCTGGACATCCATGTCCTCGACTGCGGCTGTGTTGGCGTATCCGGCATTGTTGACAACGATGTCGATGCGGCCGAACTTCTGGTGTCCGGCATGGACGGCTTGGATGACTTGTTCGTTGTTGGTCACATCCAGGTGCAGTGCCAGAACTCTCTCGTCACCATATTTATCCGTTAGATCGGCGAGCTGTGCAGGCTTGCGAGCAGTGGCGATAATAGCGTCTCCGCATTCGAGTGCCGCCTCGGCTATAGAGCGTCCCAGGCCGCGAGAGCTGCCGGTGATGAACCAGACGCGAGGCATTGTGTGATTAATTGTAGTTGCGAGTAATTAATGGAAAATTCTGGACGTGTAAGTGACAATAGCCTCATAGAACTGCTGGACCAGAGGCCCCTTTTATAGAAGGGAGTCACCATTGAATCGTTATTTCCGTGATGATGTTGATGACAGCCATTAAGCGGTGGAATCCAGTCAGAAAACCACTCAGTAATCTCTTCGATCATTAGTCCAGAATTTGAATGAATTTATTGCCGAGAAAATGCTCACGAGTGTTTGATGCGACCCCTTGCATTTAGTACTTGCTCTACTTAACCCTCGTAGGTCAGTGAAGGCGATTCCGTGACAGCTGGGTCACTGAGGCGGCTCCGAATTTTAGGGTTCATAGAACGTCGTTCTTTTTCGTAGCTGCGATAACAGCCTGTCGATGACATATCTCCAATGGAAACAACGCGATGGGTCTGTTTTCTGTCCCTCGCTGGTGGTGGGTTGAGTAGAAACGCGAGTCAGTAAGATATATCGAACGATTGGCATGCATACCATCACAGATATACAATTAAGGCAAAATATTCAACAAGGAAAGGGTACATACCGGCAAATTGAAAGCCAATTGATTAATACAAGCTTAAAAAGCCCGTATCTACTCTATACTGAACCTACAATTTCGTCCAGGTGGTCTATCTTCCAAAGGACTGGAGATGAAACAGCAAACATCATGACCAGAGATTTCTCAGAGGTCGATCACAGTTAGTCTGAGAGTCAATGTGTAGGGAACTAAATAATGCACCGAATATCCATGCCAACCTGCACCCATCGGTCGAAAGAAACAGACACCAACAGGAAATTAGATTTCAACAAATGGCAAACATTGATCACTGCCGGAGTAGAGAGCGAATCAAAGTAAGGGAGAAAGAGAAATAACCGCATTATATTCATACAGTCCAAATATTTCCAATAAATCCACCCGTCCACATGGTATTTACAGCCCCTTGGTGATGCTGGAGATGAGCGAGAATGGGTACCAGATCGACGCAACCAGCGCAATGGCATTTAGATGGATTGACATGGCGTGGTTACGCGAGAACCTGCGATTTACCTGGTGCAGCTTGTTTGGATCTGGAGGGTTGGTATTGTTTTCATCATTCGCTTGTTCTGCGGGGAGGCAATAGGTTAGGCATCATCTTGAGTAATAGACAAGAGAACAACCCTGATTGGGATGGAGTGAAATGCAGCCGAGGGGCAAAAAAATAGAAAACAAAAACATAATAAGAATGAAAATCCAAACAAAGCCAGCCGGATTTTAAATGTTTAGGCAGCCTACCTTGCAGGGACCTTCTGACAACAGCAGTCTTGGACGTTCGAGGACCATAAACAAACCAATTTAGCAGGCCCGTGAAAAGCACGATCGCTAATGGAATTGAATCCAATGGACGCGCTGCAAAAGAGCCAAGGCTATACGGAGGGCGTGTCACGGCCGTCAATAAGACCAAGCCGACCTGGCAGCGGAAGTAGGCGGGAAACACGCGGTTCTGAAGCACGATGAACTCGCGCATGGGCAGCGCTTGGTAGCAAATATTGGTGTTGACGAAGCTCTAGCGACAGGCCTTGATGAGTTTCCGGTCGGAAAGAAGATCGCAGCAATAGGAGTTTAGCTACCTGGTAGATCTCCGTGCCGAGAAGAGATCCGTAACAGAGAATATGGTAGGGAAGCGGGTTGAGCACTGAGTCGAGGATGACCTGCATGGCGGGCTTGGATTGGGCACCGTAGAGGTGGGAAGGCCAGGATGGTGCTGAAGAATCTTCCCAGATTTAATTTTTCTTTAATAATAAAAAAGAAAATAGATTCCTAGAGAATGCCTTGTAGTTTTAGTTAGAGGTGTTGTTCTCGCGGCGAGGAAGTTAGGGCTATATGCACCAAAGCATTGATCTCCCACCGAATTCGGCTGCCTGACGCCAATGTTCAAAACGAGCAGAATATCTGTCATTCAAGTCATTTCTAATCGGGTGTTCAACGTATGGATCTTAGTGTCTGGCGATATTAATTGCCTTATTTGGCTACCAGAAGGATCGGTTAAATTAGCAGGGTGGGGAGTCGTAAGCGTTAGCAGAGTCCAAAAAACCCCGGGCAGAAAACCACGATTCCGTGAGAAGATCCTTGTAAGAGTACCTCCTAGAGTAGCAGTACCCTGAGAAGGAAGTTGCCGCCTGGTTGAATCAAATCCCGATTCTTCTCTGTTTCTTTCCAACGAGTCTGGCTTCCAACCCAGGGCTCGCTGGTCACGGGGTCCCCGTCCACGGGACATCCTCTTTTGTGCTCTCCCATTTCCTCTTTCCTCTTTCCTCTTTCCCCCGTTCACCTAGCCTCATCCTCGCTAGCTGCAGCCTTTATCCTCCATGAGGTTGTACAAGGGCTGCGCTCGATTCATCAGCGCGACACACCCCCGGTACGCGCCGAATCTATCATCAGCTTCACCCTCTTGGCGGTGGCTGACTGGCCAGTTGCCATCCCAACCTTGAGCCACATCGGATCGCTGAGGGCGGGTCATCCATTAGCTGAAAGCTTTGGCCAGAGCTTTCCCTACTCGTGACGTGTTTGTGCGTGTCAATTCTAACCCTGCGGCCCCCGCGGACAGATTGCCAAACAGGCAGCCAGAAAATAATTCCGCCCTGTCTGCTGCCATTGGAGGGCGCCGTCCTGGCTTCCCACTCCTCCCGCAGCCGGATTGGTCGAGCTTCCTGCTTGCTCAAGGAAATGAGGCCATCAGTGCGCGCTTCACGGTGTCACTTCAGTCATTTTGGAATTAACCTGACAAATTGCCTGCGGATAATGGCAGCATTCATCCATCTAGGTTTATCGCCGCTGCCAATTAGATCGACGACCGTCTTATTTCTGGCATGTTATTGAAGACTATCCTGATCCATCCTGGTCCATGACAGACGGATATTCCCAATGTGGCCCATATTTGGGTGTCCAGAGACGGAAGAGCCGGATAATAAGGGCCGGAGGCGAAGGAATGGTTTTCAGCTAGCTGGTTGCAGGGACTTCCAATGCGAGAGATTCCACCGAACGGAATTTTTGGACACCCGATACCAGACCTCCTATCATAAATTGCTTTTCTGTTATGCACAAAGCTCACATCTCGGATGACCCTTGGGCGGCACGGTCGCGACAAAGCAACGCTCCGAATTTTGATCCCTGCATGCCGGGGAGAAACGAGAATAATGCTGTCTGATCGTCGCTCCGCGGTTGGCCGGGCTTGTTCGAGAGCACTGATCAAACAAACCTAGCCTACGGTCCTTCATTGCAGGGGGTATGATCGACATACATACATGGGTGTTTACTGTCCAGCCGGCAGGAACTTCGCGAATCGCTCAAACAATGATCCGCCGCCAGGCCTGTATTTGATTTTCTTTTGATTTTCTTTTGATTTTTTTATGATCTTCTTCGTCAGCAATCGCCCATCTAAGCCTCAGTAGCCACTCATACGGGTTGACTGTGCAACCTCTACGTGGGGAGACTCGAGGACCGAACTGTACTCCAACATGATACAGCACCGCGTGGCTTTCGGGGGTCACGGAGCACGGAAGCAGTTGTCCTTGGTCGTCGAAACCGTGTCGAAGTACCTCGGCGGAAGGAAATAGTACAACCCGAGCAAGTTCCAGGTCTGTGGGTATTCTAATACCGTTCGTATACCGACTATCCTTTCTCGATCAGGTCTGCCTTGGGATGTGGTAGCATCTGCTGCGCAACCTTGTAAACTCGGTGGCTATTCGGCTGACGAGCGAATGGTAACCGCGGTGCAAGGTTCAGCGCGCATCCTACCTTTGAATCAGATAAGCCACCGTGTGTCGGATCTTTTATAAAAAGCTCTGACAATTGTTGGGTTCGGGCTGCTGAGAGGAAATATTCATTGAGTCCAGCGCCACTCTTCACTACCCCTGACGTACCTATTTGACAAGCGTCTTCCAAGGTAGAAAGGTCATTGGTTTTCATTATCTATCATTCCAAGCAGCAAACATCGCTCCACGGAAGATACTACGAGATTGCCCAAGGAAATCTGTCAACCGCCGTTCCGAGGATGAGAAACCACTCGGTAAAAGAAGAGCGAGCCAACGACTCGACGGGTCAAAAACAAGACCCTGTCGAGAGAAGAAGACTACAGAACCGGCTTTCACAGCGAAACCATCGTAGGTTAATCGAACATCTTTCGGTTCGTGGTCTGAATATTGATGTTTGCTTTAGGCCGCAAAATCCGCGACCGCATCGCCAAACTACAAGAACGTGTTATCGCCAGCGAACTCAGGGCTGCTGCGAGTCTCAACGGCTGGGGATATCCGAACCCAGGTCCATCGTCAGTGGAGCCTGTGGCTCCGTATGAAGTTGATAGTAAGACACTCTCGCCATCTTCAGAAAATGCCGCCCACTTCGATCCATACTATCCCGCTGCCCCGGGTGTCTGTCCTACCTGCAGCAGCTCCATGGGGGCTATACCTGTCATCTGCTCACAACCTTTGACTCCACCGTCTGTGTACGAAACCCCCAAGGAGAGCGAATCGGCCAACTCGTCGCCTCCCTCCATGACGAATAGTTTTTATGAGGCGGGGGTTAACTTTTTCGGGCCGGACATGTCGTCGTCGGCACTCAGCAATTATTCGGTGGCCGAGCTGAACGTTCCGTTCCCTTCGGAATCTTGGGGTCAGACGCAGTATCCATCGTCTGCATTATATTATGTCGCTACGGGTGAGTTGTCTGTATAACATCTGCCTTTCGTCTTGCCGTCGGCGGATCTAATAATGGATAGAATCGTCGCTCCCACAGATCATACAAACACTGGGCTCCGGAGCCTCCAGGACCAAGGCACTCGTTCTGATCCCACAGGCGCAGGCGACAGGGATGGCCATGACCTCGCCGGTGTCTCAGGCCCCGACGTCTAGGGAGTCGGCGACGCCTATCAGTCCTCTAAGCCTGCAAGGCTGCGGGTGCCAGTGCCAAAACCATGACGCGGTGGTTGGATTGCCAAGCTCGGGATTCTGTCCTGTGCATTCGACTCAAAATATGGAAAATTGTGCCCGAGGAATGGTATAAAGTTTGTTGTATATAGAATGCCTGTCTGGTTTGTCAGGTACGGAAGATCCGACTTTGGGGTTGACCTTGATGATGACATGACCAAATAGTTCAACATGTTCATGCGCGGTATAAACCGACGTTCAATCAAATGAGACATTGTAGAAGGAATGGCCTCGATGCGAATTGCGTAGGTTCTTTGAATGTCTGAGGTTGCGATCTGTCAACGTATGCCTGCCCTGCAAGCAGATCTGGAGGAGGACCTCTTCTTCCTTATCAACCATCATCAACAATCATTAGATTGAAATAGTTGAATTATTTACTCTCATCAACCTCGGTAACCCCTACCTCGCAGAACTCATACAACCTTCAATCGAATGGAATATTGCAGAAGGAATACCCCAAATGCGATCTTCATCCGAATCCTCGGGATGTGGACATTTCCTCCCGACCCAACTATAAAGTCTTGCGCAGGGCAACCTTCCAGTCAAGTAAACCTAAGATCTATTTCGCATTCTATAAATATCGTATGCTTACAGCTGATCACATACCCCATACCCCACCAGACTACTTAACACCTCCCACCATGGCATCCCCGGACTACAGCCACCATTTCTCCATCCACAACCTTCCCTACGGCGCCGCTTCCTCACCCACCCATCGCACCCAATGCGCAACGCGCCTCCACAACAATGTCATATTCCTCGGCGATCTTCAACGTCACGGCTTCTTCTCCGCTATTCCGGATCTACCCGCCCGTGTTTTCGACGAAGTGACATTGAACCGATACGCTGCGCTGCCGAAACGCATACATCACCATGTGCGAGAGATCCTACAGTCCGCGCTTGCCTCGAAAGATATCGACGGTCTACCAGAGAGCTGTAGAGAGAATGTCGAGACAGTGAAGATGCATTTACCGGTCGATATTCCGAATTTTACAGGTATGATTTGCCTTTTCTCTATTCCAACTCTGCCTGCCTGCCTACCTGCCGTACCTCGACGCTCAAGTTATGACAAAGAGCATTGTGAGGGCTAACCAACAGACCAGATTTCTCCTGCAGTCTCAACCACGTCCAAAACGCCGGTCGCGCCATCCTCAACAACCCCACTCCCCCTCCCGGCTTCTTCCACTTCCCGATCGGCTATACCGGACGAGCCAACAGCATCGTGGTCTCAGGGACGCAGATCGTGAGACCTAGAGGACATATCCGTGGTCAAACCAAGTCAACCCCTACCTCTTCCAACGGAGAAAGCAAAGGCGAAGGAGAGACCCCGAAACAAGAAGTCATATACGCCCCCTCAAGAGCACTAGACTATGAGCTTGAATTGGGATTCGTGGTGGGTGCCCCGGTAGACGTGCATCAGGGCTTGGAGGCCAAGGATGCAGAGGAGTATCTGTTCGGGGTGGTAGTGGTTAATGATTGGAGTGGTAGGTTCTTTTTCTTGCCTAGGTTTTCTGTTTGAATGTTTAAAAGTCCTTTATTCCTCTTGCTGGTCTTTTGACTTCTCTCGCTTTTGGATGCTTGAGTCCTGCTGGATTAAGCATGATCACCCATACCTTCCCTCCACCCACACGAAACCAAATACCCCTCGTCTCAAACATGCCCCACCACCAAACAACTAACACTGCGATCAAAATAGCACGAGACATCCAATCCCTTGAAATGGTCCCCCTGGGCCCCCTAAACGGAAAATCCTTCAACACCAGCATCTCGCCCTGGATCGTGACGCTCGAAGCCCTAGCTCCGTTTCGCGCCGTCGGTCCTGCTCCTCGCGCGGAATTACCACTCCATCTGCAAGATCCGGGCGCGTTCGGATACGATATTAGTTTGAGAGTGGAGTTGGAGCATTCTGATTCTTCTGCTGTTGAGTTTGCGTCTACGTCTACGTCTACGAACGGGAGTCATGAAAAGGGAAGACTAGCAACGACGCATCTCAGTACCTCTAACGCCAAAGATCTATTCTGGTCTCCCAGGCAGATGCTGGCGCATATGGCTAGTTCTGGGTGTGGAGTGAGGACAGGGGAGTTGCTGGGCACCGGGACAGTGAGCGGGACTCAGGAGGGGGAGTATGGCTGTTTATTGGAGATAACGGGGGGTGGGAAGACGGCTGTTCGGTTGAATTCCTCCGATGGGTCTGGTGGTGGGGAAGAGAGAGTGTTTTTGATGGATGGCGATGTGGTGAGGATGGTTGGATTGGCTGGCGAGGGAGTTGGGTTTGGGGAGTGTATGGGGGAGATTGTGTCTTCTCTTTAGTAGTGTCTTCTGTGGAGGATTTGGATGGGTTTGCTCTAGACTGTAAGGTGGACGAGGAAAAGATGCAGATGTCAAGACCATTAATATTCAAGAATCAAATGATATATATACTATACTCCCAAAAATGTCCGGTACCTGCCATGACCAGACCAGATCCAACCCAACCAACCCAACCATAGAAGTCATTAAAATAGAAAGTAAATCGAAAAATGCCACGCCATTCATCCATCCATCCAGAGCGCCATGCCAATTCTATCCCATGCTAACTCCATAAAGGTGGATGGATATATTCAGCCGCTCGGTCCAAGATATTAGGAATTGACCATTCGCCGCTGGTAGAGCTCTCGGGTGTCGGAGGCGGCAGGGATCCGACGCTAGGCGTCATCGCCGATACAGGAGGAACAAGAGAGCTCATGGTGCCTGGGCCCTGGTTGAGGTATGCTGGTGATTCGTGACGGGAGGGGCCATGGGTCTGCGAGCTGAATGCCGCTTCGAGTTTCTCCAAAGCCCGCAGAGTCTTGGTCAATGGTTTGGCCCATTGCGTTTGCGTGTCGACGGCGACGGCAACCGAAGCAGGAGACGCGGAGAAGGCGGCGGGACTGGTGCCAGCGCTGGCTGTTGTTGCGGTGGCAGGGACGGCGGCGCCAAAGGCCGGGACAGTGCGATCAGATGTCGGAACGGTGGGGTCTACCGATTCGTACGTGCATTCTGTGTTGGCGCGCTCGGCGATGATCATCTTGATTTGTTGCAGGAGAGACCAGAACCGCGGGTTGGTTTTGGATTCTTCCGTGACGGCCAGCAGGAAGATGGAGCTGATGGCGCGTTGCAGCGCAATCCAGGAACGCGACGCGTGCGAGCTGACGGAGTGCATCTCAATGTAGGCTTCGACCGTCGTCATTAGATTGATGATGCAGTCGGAGCGCATGCTAGTACTGGCCGGGTCGTGAGCATCGGCGACGGATTTGAGCGCTGGCCGGCAGAGCTCAGAGGAGAAGTAGGAGGAATGCAGCTTGAGTACGACCCGTTCGAGATGCTCCGTCGGCGTAACGCAGTATTTGGGATCCCGCAGGTAGGGCTTTGCTTCGACCATGATGTGTTGTATCCGTTCTTTGTATGTTTGAATCGTCTTGAAGCTCATCTGAGAATGTGAGTTTAACATCCGACCGCGGACAACTTCTAGAGCGAGAGCGATGATCCGGCAGAGTGTTTCGAAATATGAGAGATCCCCTGGTCGCGAGTCTCCACGAGAGGCGATGTCCGGTTGACTGACGGCGGTCGTGGACGGTCGGTCGTAAGATAGAGAGAAATGGCTGTCCTGCCATGCCATGGACCACCTACAACCGTTAGTTCCATCTTACTATGCTTTTTTGATGTGTGCATACCAAACATGCCGTCTACGGTATCGCTCTACTGACGAAAAACGGCTGGTTTCGACATGAAGACCTAGAGCCAAACCCATGCGAAGTGTCATGCCTATTTTCATTAGTCGGCCGTCACAGAAAAGGGAGATTGTGCATACCAAGTAGGACATATGAAATTCCAGGGTTCATGTTATAAGACAGCACATTCCCGATGACAAGTAATGTCTGGATAGCTTCGATGGTGGGCTGGGACAAAAAGTTGGTCATTCGAAGACACTGATAGGAGCAGCACACTAGTCTAATCAGTAAGAGATCGATTGCGGCGTCAAAATTGTCTCACCATAAACTTGCGAAGTCAATTCTCTCTCCTTGCCAGGCAGATCAGAAGATTGACAACCGGACGCCAGCACGGCGAACGACAAGCCAAGGAACGCAATCGAAACGCCAAACGGCTTCTGTGCCTGATCATCATCGGCCCTGTAGGTCCCACCAATTGACGCGCGGTTTTGTAGCATGAGATTAAGGTTCATTTCGAACAGCGCCGTGTCCTCGATCACGGGGTAGATGGCCCCTGCGATATCCCGGTAAAAGAAGAAGAACCTGTCAGGATGTCAGCTTGCCACCTAAACCCTAAAATGCCTTAAGAACACTTACTCTTTGCACTGTTGATCACCTGGCAGCGCACTGCAAACGGCACTGATGTCGAAAGTCGACATATCCGATGACCACAGATCGACAAACGGATACGTTGCCGACTCATTATCAAGACCGAGTTTTGGCAAGATGCCGCCCTCCAGAAGTGCTTGTAACTGATCGGACCCCGACTTGTTGTTCAGGATATATGCAAGGACAGACCGCGATCCCAGATGAACAGTCCCTTCACCCAGGGTATTGGCCGCATGGATCCCCTCTCGCTCCGGGGAGGCGGCCTTGGATCGGGTACTTGCATCCCCGCTTTGCACGCTGCCAGTTTCTAGGCTGGACGCCTGTCCCTCTTCCGCGCGTTCCAGGCCCACGCGAAGATTGCTAATAGTCTGCTCCATCTCCTTCAGCCGGGTGCGCACATTATCCCACTCCTCGCGCGCAACCGACACGCGACCGCTGGGCCCCAACGGCAACGGCACGGAAGGCACGGGTCGCGTCGTGCCAGGCTCTTGTTTCAAGCGAACACCACCTTCAGGCTGAGCCGGCATTCCCATGTGCTCCGGGACACCGCCCGGCGTTGTCCCTCCCACGGGACTGTCGCTGTACGTCGTGGCGGCGGGCGGCGGGACCGAGGAGCCCGTCATGATTCGTTTCTTGGAGGGACGTTCGTAGGAGCAAATATCGGCGTGGTCTCGCTTGACACATCCATCGCATGGAAGATTGCGGTCGCATTTGACCTTTCGGGCGTGACAGGGGTAGCAGGCCTTGGGCTCGCGGGCCTTTCGTTTGGTGCGGATGATCGCGTCGACTTGGGATTGCGGCAGTTCGGAGATGGGTCGTGAGGAACCTGCACCCGCGGCACCGGCAGCCGTCATATCGGTTCCGGGTACCGACGGCGAGAACGACATGGACGATTGATAAGGAGAAGCCATTGGGAGAGATTGGATCGAGTTCGCTTCGAGGGGGCTAGTATCAGTGCCGAAGTTTTTCCGCGCAAATGGTGCTCCGGCTCATGCGCGCAGTTGAGGTCATAGACAGCGAAGCAGGACGAAAATGAAGCGATTCGAATAGGATTCCAGCTACCTCACGTGGTAAGCAGCAGCATGCACATTGCTTCGGCGGGAGCAGAGTGGGATGCAGCGGGGATCGGATGGACGAATGTCGGCAGATCTCGCTTTTCGAGGCTTGACAGGGACAAGCGGCTGTCGGCAGCTGAAGTCATTGCGATCGACTGCTGACTCAGCCAGATCTTAGTGACACGTGATTCGCGGGGCAGGCTTACCGGACTAGGACTAGTGCCTGCTTATAGATATAATCATACGAAATAAGGTCTTCTAGTACTAGCTAAACTCCTAAAAGCAAAAAGACACGAAAGAATAGAACAAAATTAAGGAACATCCACAGAGACTCCAATTTCAGGTGTCTTGAGCTGATCAGGTGTTAGAACTTTAAGCCTTGTTAGAAACTGACGCGATTTCATCTAAATCCTCTGGGTCCGGTTTAGACCTGTACATGGCCCATGGGCCGGTTGTCACGACCTAGGCTCGCCCGACCTGCCCCTGTATACTAGTTATCTCGCAATGACGGACTGATAGCTAGCGTCCCCGATAATAGCTATGTCTTTAGCAGCTGAGTGACTGACTGGGGTTGACACAAACCTGAGTAGCTGTCTGAGCTACTGTGATAGAGTATTCCGATCGAAGGATCGAATGACCGAAACAAGACTAGCAAGCAGATAGATTGAGGTAGGCCTGATTGAGTGCATATACTCAATCATAAAAAAGTAACTGACGAGTCGATTGCTACTTATAGTATAAAACTTATACTCAAGTAACAAACTATTGGATCATGAAAGTTTCGTATTGCCTAGTAATTTGTATGCAGAATCGAGGCTCAATGAAGGTCTGATCCTCTTGATCTAGAGGATCGAAACGAAGCTATTTAACGTGCAATATTACTACGTGGCTTCTTTGAAATCGGCTTATCTTGAAGCCATGAAATGCCGTCAGAGTTGATTGTCAAACCCTAGGATCCGTCTAAGCTGCGTTAATCCTGCTACCGTGGATAAGTTCAAGCACTGGTGATCAACCCGGTTGATCCTGAGTTCTGGGTGATACTTAACCTGAGAGCCCCGTGGCCCTTCTTAGCTGAGAATGGCTTGGTGATTGCGATGATCCTCCCTGAGGGTCCTTGGTGCAGCGAAGATAGAAGTAAGGCCAGGTTGGTACGTATACCTCCCTGTGATAGTGATCTGGCGAATCTAATAGCAGTAACAAGTTACTATCAAAGATTGTAGTTGTTATTGAACGCGAAGAACTCAACAAGAACTATCTAACATGTGGGTAAATGAGTGTCCTTATATAGTCCTCCTTGGTATACCCCTGGTCGTAGCCTTGGTAGCCAACTGGTATATCGTCTACCATTGTTCTACTGCCAAGCCTATCATCCGTATACCACCTCTTGGTCACGTGCCCTTGGGCGGTCGGGTTATCTTTGGTTGGTCATCACCCCGCTGTTTCCTGCTTCGTTGCCTTCTGTCGAACAGGGGTCTGTAACATTGATCTAGACGGAAGCGGCAAGGTGTTGAATCCTGGCGATAAAATTGCCCCATATTCGCTGACACAAACTACTATTGAACGCGAAGAACTAAACAAGAACTATCTGACAGGCGATGAACGAGTGTCCTTATATAGTCCTCCCTTTTATACCATTTCCTTACCATTCATGGTAGCCCCTGTCGCCGCGGATATGCACTAGAAATAAGCCCTTACTACTAAGGGTTGACCCTTTTTAGTGCAGCGGTATTTTTTCCACAAAGTTAATGTGGCAGATTACTGTGGGTCTTCCGAGAAGTGATTATTCAGCCGAGGAATATGATCGTTTTCAACTGAATGAAGGTCTTGATTCGACTAACTACACGATAAAGAAGCCGATATTTATGGAATTTGAGGGGCTTCCTATTTCCTAATCGCCAAAACAAGTGACATATCACGATAATACTGTCCCGAAAAATGCCCTATAAATGCAATAAAACTGCAATAAAACGCAATGAAAATGCAATATTTATGCAATGAATCAATCGGCCAAGAAAGGCGACGATATAAGCGGTTTAGTCATCTTCCGCGGCCACAGTTTAGTTAGTTAACTAGTTAACAACTTAACTAACTGGTTAGTTAACTAATGATCGGTGAGTAACGAGGCCGCGGGCTATGCCAAGATCTACTCGCTCCAATTACCTGCCTCACCCCTGCTCTGAAAAGAATCAATTAATCATCAACACCCTATACTGAATTAGCATATATTTTAAAGCAGAAATTAGCACAGGGCTCAAAAATAGTCTGGATATAACTACTTCGGGTTTGCTTACCTATACGAGGACAGGTCGGGCCTACATAAGTCCGATGATCTCTTATATCTCAGTCTCACGGTCTCACCGCAAGCTCAGCCTCCAGATTATTCACTCCATACCATCAATCTACCAACTATGGTTGCCACAACATTGGATGATGTAGATGAGACTACGGCTCTTCTGGGCCCCAATAGGGTCCCTGAAGAGGAAAAACCTCTACCAAAGGCTCAGATCCTGCTACTCTGTTACGCACGGGCCGTAGAGCCCTTGGCCTTCTTCTCCGTCTTCCCTTATGTCAGTCAGATGATCCAGGACAACGGGAGCGTCAAGGACTCGGATGTCGGCTTCTACACTGGGATCATAGAGTCATTGTTCTCCCTGACTCAAGCCATAGTGATGATCTTCTGGGGCCGCGCGGCCGATCGCGTCGGCCGTAAGCCGGTCCTGGTCTTCTCCTTATTCGGCGTGACTATGGCGACGGGCCTCTTCGGACTGGCAAAAACTATCTCTCAGATGGTTCTATTCAGGTGTCTTGCCGGTATCTTTGCGGGGACTATCGTCACGATCCGCACGATGATAGCCGAGCACAGCACGAGCAAGACACAGGCCCGATCGTTCAGTTGGTTCGCTTTCAGTGGGAACTTGGGCATTTTCCTGGGCCCTTTGTTAGGTGGTAGTCTTGCCAACCCAGCAGGCCAGTATCCGGGTATATTTAGGGACACCGGGTTCTTCGCTGACTACCCATACGCACTTTCGAGCCTGGTGGTAGCGCTGGTGGGGGCTACTGCTGCCTTGTCTAGTCTCTTCTTCGTCCAAGAGACCTTGAAACAGGAGCCCGCTACATCGGGTTCCGACCCCGATGAAGGACTATCAACCTGGCAGCTTTTGAAAGCGCCTAGTGTGGGAATAGTTCTCTACACATATGGACATGTCATGGTCCTTGCCTTCGCGTATACAGCCATTGTCCCTGTCTTTTGGTTCACGCCCGTGTACCTCGGGGGATACGGCTTCACTCCTCTACAAATTTCGGTACTGATGGGTCTGAATGGCGCCGCTCAAGCTGCGTGGCTCCTCTTGGTCTTCCCCCCATTGCAGAAGAGGATCGGATCGAACGGTGTGATCCGTCTATGTGCCTATGCCTATCCATTCTTCTTTCTTGCCTGCCCAGCTGGTAATGTCCTTCTGCGACTGGGGACCGAGGCATCTGTTAAGACCTTCTGGGTTTTCCTACCGATAGCGCTCGCCATCGGCTGTGGTGTCAGCATGAGCTTCACGGCCATCCAGCTCGTTTTGAACGACGTCTCGCCCTCGCCGAGAGTATTGGGTACGCTGAACGCCCTCGCCTTGACCGGGGTTAGCGGACTGAGGGCGTTTTGCCCGGCCCTTTTCACCACCCTCTTCGCCTTGGGGGCGAGGACACAACTCGCCTGGGGGTACGCCATCTGGATACTGATGCTCTTGCTTGGTGTCGGGTTGTCAGTTGCCGCGAGATATCTACCGGAAATCGAGGAGCCTGATGGATCTTCTTGAGTTGTCTCAGTATGGAGTGAGGACAGGACACGAACAACCTTTTTTTCTTTTCTTTTCTTCATTATTCCAGTAAGACAGAGATAAGTGATATGGTCTATTTAGGTTATATGGGTAAACCAATCTCAATTATGCAGCTTTTACTAAAATCTTCGGGTGTTATCAGCTGAGCTTCGAGCATTTCAATATTTTGGGCAGTTATTCATTGTACAAGAATATCACAAGTAAGAAATATGTATATAGTCCCCTGAATACCAAGATTGCATATTCAACAGTCAGCTTGAGATTCTATCACAAGGCTTGCCCTTGTATGTTTCGTAAGTTATGTATGGTATCATTACACAAACAGGTATCACGTATCATGACTAAGGTCCGTCATCCACATAACTAACTAGTTAGCATATTTACCAAAACTCTTAATACCCAACCACTGCTTAGACTTCCGCAAAGCCCACAAAGCCCAAGCCCACTGGGGAGGGGGCCAATGGGCCTCAATCAATCAATCAATCAATCAATCAAAATTCTATTAACCTGGTGAAGCCTATCTATTGAAACGACAGGCTATGCAG